GCATATATCTAACTATGCAATTTTTGCTGTTTGTAAAACTGCTTGCTGGGACCATAGAGAATCAAAATTTGCTTGAAATGTGCTGTTTATAGCATATGATTTGTTGTCACTTTTTTGTTTGCTCACCCCTGCATTTTTGTGTCACTCACGTCATGGTATCTTGTTATTGTGTCTTTAGACCAAAATGGCCATCTTCCTCATTTGTTTCCTCCGATGGACTAATTACAGCCATGGCCTATCGCCTGCCTCATGTTGTATGTATCAATATCCATCTAAATGATTTTATATGTTTGTAGTTTAAGTTAATAACTGAAGCATTTTATTTCTCAGGTTATGGGGGATAGGTCAGGAAACATAAGGTGGTGGGATGTAACAACTGGACATTCTTCGTCATTTAATACTCATAGAGAAGGAATTCGTAGAATCAAATTCTCACCTGTTGTTGCTGGAGACCGTAGCCGAGGGCGCATTGCTGTATTATTTTACGACAACACGTTTTCTGTATTTGATCTTGTAAGCTTGAAAGTGGAATTGCTAAGTCCATTTCCTTTTTTCCTTATTATGTGTTCTTGTTCTTGCATAAATAATAGGCCGTGTGTATCTTTTCTTTTTTATCTTTTTACTGCCAGTGCTCCCTAATTTTGTGAATTTGCCAAATTGAACGCATAATTAGAGGAGACTTACATTCGCCACATAAACAGGGAAAAGAAATAAACAACTATACAAAATATGGACTCTGTTTACTTTTTAGCTATAAAAAGTGAGTGAAATAAAACCTACACAATTATACAGAATACGAACTTCGTTGACTTTTTGCTATGAAGAATGAGTGAAAACCAAACTACTATTCTCCTGTTCTGTTAGAGTGCCTTTTTCCCCGCCCATGTATAATCTGACCTCCAGTGCTGTAAGTGCCGAACTCTTAGATGTGCATTCAATGTAAATCTTTGACATTGGGATGTCTATGGGTTGGGATCATTGAATAACAATTTTTAGGCGGTAACATGCTGCATAAATAATGTTCTTTCTTCCAGCAAGACTTTTCAAGGGTTTTTTCTTCATTTAATCGTAATGCCTTGTACTTATTTGATTACAGGATTCACCAGACCCACTAGCCAATTCCCTTTTACAGCCTCAATTTCCTGGAACGCTTGTGTTGGAACTTGATTGGTTGCCTCTGAGAACCGATAAAAATGACCCACTTGTATTGTGCATTGCTGGAGCTGATAGTAGTTTTCGCCTTGTTGAAGTGAACATGTAAGTGTATTTTTTGTTTCAATCCTGAGCGTTCTAATTTTATTTCCTTATTATTCTCTTTATATGATCATTCATAAACGATTCAAACTCAAAACCATTGATGAATGGTGGGAGTTTTTTATGGTGCTTTGTTTTTGCCATGGTTAGAATGTGAAAAGTGTTAGGTGGCTGTAAAAAAAAAAATCAGGAGAAGGATTTTGGTTATGTTGTGTATGATGTAATATGGGCAACCCCGGGACTTATGAAAAGTTTTGAAAATCATTTTAAAGATGTAATGCTGTCAAGAAGCAAATAATACTAAAAGGGACATTTGTACGCTATGCTCAATGGTGGCACCCCCTTGGTTTTGTAAACAAATGATTTACCTTCTTCCTATTAAAAAATGTTAAAAGTCAAATGAAGAAACTAATAAAGAAACCGGGTAATCCCCTTTGAAATGATTCAAATACCAAGAAAGATGAATTGTCCAATTGAAATTGGGAGCGGTCAGCTCCAAGTAATTACTTACCATGTTTTCTTCATCTCTAGCCAAATTGAAGATACAAGAGAGTTGGTCTTTTTTCAAGGGCTTTTCACGACACAAGCAAATTCCTCCTAAAGGCTCACAAACTATGATATGGACCATTTAGTTTTTACTGATATAGGACTGCTATGATAACTATTAGAATATTTTATCTTGGTAACTCTTGTATTTTGTTAAGATTTATTTTTGAAAGAAAAAGAAACAATATATTAACAGAGCACGGGAAGGAGGGGAGGGAGAACACAATTGCAAAAAACAAGCTTTAAAAATCATCAAAATGTCAATGATTCTCCAAGATAAATCTAAATGTTTATCAGCCTTGCTAGGGATTTCAAAGAGGGACATAAAATAGATTGGGAGACTTATTAGGCTGTTGGTGAGGGTTAACCATGCACCCGGAAAAAGTTCCTTTTCCAACTCACCATCTTCCTGTCTAACTTAAGATTTTAGCTCTTCAATGGCATTATGCCTGAGAAACTGCTGAGACATGAAATATACTAATGATCTGTTTGCTTACTCTTGTTGACAAGGAACTTTTCTTTTTAGTATGTTATTAGTGTTAAATTATTTGGAAAAATAAGGTGGATTATTTTTGAAGGATTATTGTCAAGATACTAAACATTGGTTCTTTTTGTAAAATTACCATGCTTATTCCTACCAGCAAATAGCTTTTTATGCAATATCATACTTTGCATATAATCTCTAGAGAAGATAACTTCCATTTGAATATTCATGCAGAAATGACAAGAAAGCTGGCTATATAGCCCAACCTAGAGCTATTAAAGAGAGATTTCGTCCTGTGCCATTGTGCACTCCAATTTTGCTCCCGACACCGCATGCCCTGGTAACAACTTCTTCTGTTTCTCCCCTTTGGCATTCAGCAGGTCATAATATTACAATGGGCATGTATTTTTTAAGCACAGAACTCTCATATGATCATGCTCATTGCCTGTGGAGATATGAAAATTCATTTAGACTAAGGGGAGAAGAACACCACAATCTGATATCTAAGCCTAAAATGTTATTCTATAAGGCAAAATTCAAATGAACCCATTTTCAGATATAACTGATTTGGTGATTCACAATTGTCACTGATGTTTTGTCATGCAGGCATTACGGATGATCTTGCAGTTGGGTGTAAAGCCTGCTTGGTTTAATACTTGCAGTGTAACCATAGAGAAAAGGCCTCATTTAATTCCTGGAACCACTTCATCTTCTAAGGACCTTCGAAGTTTCATGACTGGTTTACCATCTGTCGGTGACTCTGTTGTGCCAGAATTGCTGCTTAAAGTACTGGAACCTTATCGAAGAGAAGGTTGGTTTTTTACCTTCTCCTGTGATGATCTCACTCATGAAAATAATTTCATTTAAGCATTTGATGGTTTGTTTTATTCTAAGCTCTTCAAAAATGTGCTGTTTGCTATAGGCTGCATCCTTGATGATGAGAGGGTGCAATTATATGCCACTGTGGTCAACAGAGGGTGTGCTGCAAGGTTTGCCTTTGCAGCTGCAGTTTTTGGTGAAACTGCAGAAGCACTTTTCTGGTTACAGTTGCCTCATGCTCTTAACCACTTAATGAATAAGTTGGTAAATAAATCTCCACAGAAATTCCCTGCCTCAGCATCGGTACCAGATCTTGATAATACCGCTACGCTGGACAGAATTACATCAAAGGGGAAATCAACGTTAGGAGCTGAGAAGAAGGATTTGCTGGTTAGTCATTTAGTTTAGTTTCTTTGATTTACATTTGCATGGAGGGAGGGGAAGAGGGAAGTTTCCAGCTATCTCACTATAGGATGTAGGCCTTGTACCATGCTGTCTCGACATTCAAAACTGCTTTTGGCAGTTGTTTTTTTACAGTCAGATCATGTTCTTCACTATCAATTTTTCTATTTGGGTAACAGAGTCAAGGTCAACTTAGATCAATGGTGTTTGCCCAAGAAGAATTATGGGTACGTGCTAGTGAGCGTATTCCTTGGCATGAGAAGTTGGAGGGGGAAGAGGCTATTCAGAACCGAGTACATGAGTGAGTGTTCTCATTATCTTGGCTGTTATTGCTGTTTGCGTAGTCAACAATTGTCAAATTTTGAATGTATAGATATGAGCAACTCCTAAAACTATTAGGTTGTGTTTGGTCCCATTCTCATTCAAGTCCTAGTTGAAGATTTCTTGTTAGTCTTAACATCCATAACCATAAAATAATTTATGTTTGAGTTACTACCGTGTCAATATGAATTTTTTGTGGTGAGAATTCAATACCTACCTTTCAATATGAATGTTCAATTTTCGCTATAAAGGAATTCAATGTGGGATTGGTGGTAACATAATACAATATAGTTCTATTTGTACAATACTAAGACTAATATAGGTGTGCTATAGTACGAGCTTAGGCATTGTCCCTCTGCCTACCTTATAGGTTATTTGGAAGGAAAGAAATACTTTCAAGGATGTAGAATCTTATTTGATAAGAGCAAGGATGTTTGGTTCTAAACCTTAGGTTTTTTGGTAAAGAGTCAATTTCTTTATACCTTCTTGGTGTCTATATATATTATACTTTTTTCTTTATGGGAGATGTTGTTGTTGTAATTTTGGCTTTGTCCTTAATCCACCATAAAGGGGAAACTCCCGTTGTAATAGTTGGTTCTTCAGAAAGTAGGCACATAGCAAACCACGTTAAGCTCTCTGTGCTTTGTGGATATTTTTAACAATTTATAAGACAGTTCCTTGTTGTAATGCTTTATCATTCCTCTTATAAAATGGATTTTGCTAAGCTATTGTTTGGAAGTTCCAGTATGCTCAAGTACGTTGTTGTAACTATCTCACATCTTGGTTCTCCACCAAGGGTTACATTTCATTTGAATAAAGTACATCTCAATGCCCTATTATAACAGGCACTGGCATTTGCTGTGGCTAATTTTCTTTTTCTCTTCTGATTAATATCACCATTCAACCTGAACAAACAGGCTTGTATCTGTTGGGAACTTGGAAGCAGCAGTTAGTTTATTGCTTTCCACATCTCCAGAGAGCCCTTACTTCTATGCAAATGCTCTACGTGCCGTTGCTCTTTCTTCTGCTGTATCAAGATCTCTTCTTGAACTTGCAGTCAAGGCAAGTGTTTGTTTTGAAACTGCCTCATCTTTTTTAATAAAAATAATTGTTTAGAGTCTAGAGTGCCTGATTTTTGTGTTTGGCAATTTGAACCTTCAGATTGGGTTTCAATCTACAAACTCCCCAGTATAGTGCAAATTTTTCAAGAATCTATGCTCTGTAAATTGCTAAGTACAAATTATTAGTGAATTTGTGGCTATGTTTGTAAGGGATGAACTATTGTTGTAGAATTTATTTAAAAATACACACTTAATATAAACCATAAGAGAATGAAAATTATACTACAAGTCTAAAAATTAATCTTCAAGAGAGTTTCAAGTGAAATTAAAATAATACATTTCAGTTTATCAAGACTGATATAATTGGAAATGTATTGCTTTAGTTCCATTTAGAATTCTCCTAAGAGTCTATCTAATTTTCATTTTCGTAGTTGAACTAAATGTGAATTTTCAGATGAATTTTCCAGAAATGGTTTGTTTGTTCTGAAAATAGTCAGTATGTTTCTGCAAAGATGATTTTGGCGAAAGTCGGATTTCAAATAACTAAGTGGATACGGCCATGGAAGAGTGCTTTGGTGGATTTACTTGTGTTACTTTATCTCCACTATTTCACTATATGATAATTGGAACCATGTGATAAGTTCTGAAAATATAAAGTTTTTAGTTTCATATAGAAAATACACATGAGATGACATATTATATATAACTGATATAGCAGGAAGCAATAGAATGCTAGATGTATTTTATATAGAGAACACATGTAAAATGTAAACACTGTAGAGATGCTCTTACTTGGAGCATTTTAAAAATTAATAATCCTGCACTCTTACTCTTTCTCCCTATAATACATTGTATGGATGTCCATACTTGTGCTTATTGTTGTATAATCATTCAGGTTGTTGCTGCCAACATGGTGAGGACAGACAGATCACTCTCTGGCACTCATCTTCTTTGTGCCGTTGGAAGGTATCAAGAAGCTTGCTCCCAGGTTAGATTTCGTTTTTTAAGCTAATTTTCTGTGTATATCCCATGGCTTGCACTTAGATCTTTGAATGAACTTCATATTTGAATTCAAACTTTTGTATGTTGAGGTATATCGTGTTTTTACTGCTGAATTTTATTTTGGTGAACATGCTTCCCTGAATGGTCATGTCAGTAGGGGATTTTTAAGCCTGGCTGCTGTTTGTGTTTCTGCTGCTGAGAATCTAACTTATTTTTCTGAATTGCTTTTCAGCTTCAAGATGCTGGATGCTGGACTGATGCTGCAACTTTGGCCGCTACACATTTAAAGGGATCTGATTATGCAAGGTGTCTGTTTCCTTTTCTGTATCTCCTTCATTTGGAAATTCTTTACGAAGATTCATTCTCCCATTCCTAACATAATGAACATTTTTCATTCTCTGCTGTTCTCTACATAGAATCAAGTATTTCATCAGACATCAGAAGTGCGCCCAGCATGTTTCATAAAGATGATTAAGAATATGCTTCTTTTGGGGGAAGAGCAATATTCTATTGATTTGGTGATGAATGTTTATCATATGATTGGTAGAATAACCTAGTCATACTTTTTGTTTGTAGGGTGTTGCAACGGTGGGCCGAGCATGTCCTTCACACCGAGCATAATATCTGGAGGTACTGCAATTATTATCTTTTTGGAAGACTGCTTGGTTTTTTCCGGTTTTTCTTTATTAATATTGTTTCATGTATGTATTATGAATATCAAAATCACTTAATGCAGGGCTCTTATCTTGTACGTTGCTGCTGGCTCATTGCAAGAGGCATTGGCAGCTCTTCGCGAGGCGCAACAACCTGACACAGCTGCCATGTTCGTACTGGCCTGCAATGAAGTCCATGCAGAAACAGTTGCAAAATTAGGAAATGTGGATGATGAATCTGGACCTTTTGTTAAGGATTTTCTGGCAAGCTTGCCTGGATTGGAGCCAACTAACGAAGATGTGATTGCAGTTAGAGAATATTTTCAGGAATACCAAAGAAAGTTGGTGCATCTCTGCATGGACTCGCAGCCCTTTTTTGAGTGATTATAGTTATAATCTCAGCAAGTTTATTCATAAGTGAGCTCTACTGTATAGATATGTGGTATTTCACATGACATCCGCAGTCCTGGGTTCTCTTGTCACCCTTGTTTGTGATTAGCGGGCAGAGAATTAGTTTATACAAAATGATTAGTCCTGGTACTTACTCTCAAACCATTGAAAATTTTGTTGTATAAAACAAAATTAAGTTGTAGTTCATGTTGTAATTGTTCATTCATTTTGTCCTTGTGGAGATATACTGGACTTCTTGTTGCAAGCTAAGCAGGTTTGTAAAAACATCTGCGTCAATTGTATTATTAAATTTGTTCTTCCTATTCAACATTAGTTTTCCTTTCCCAAGTTTTTTGGTCGGCATTACAAAAACTTGTTTCCTTTTTTCTCTGTCAACGCATAAATTTTCTCAATGCAGAAACCAGAAATAGGTTAAAAAATACATGTTCCGGGAAGAAAATATGGAAGATAATGAAGTCATATTACAAATCAATTCTCTAACAAAACATTTCTAGATTGGCTTTGCGCCCATATAGGCACAGGAAACAAAAAAGAGTTCATCTCTTCTTTGGCTAAAACCTTATCCGAGTTGATCAACCAGTGATCGTATGCAGTTTCTTCCAACATTAATCTTCTGCAACCAAAAGTGCAGTCCCAGCAAGTCCCTTAATCAAAATATTTAGAAGCTCAGTTCACATACATAATAGTCCAGCCACACCTCGAGACTTGGATACAGCAATTCATGGGGAATGAACAAGCTGAAGGACAAACTGAGGGACAAGTGATTGAACCTTCCCCCCAATATACGGATCATATGAAAAGAAAACAGTTCGTGCCAGCGTTGTTTTCTCGTGCCTCATTTGATTTAACAAGAACCGATAGGAGATATAAAATATAAATAACATAAAAATTTAAATGAAATAATATTCTAATTCTAAGTTACTTTTCACATCTAATCAAATTATGAATTCTGTAATTTCATGTAAGTAGAGTTTGTTCACTTAATTATCACATTTCGTCTATTACGACTAAATTTTTAAATAGAAAAATTAAGAGTTCGAAATAGAATGTCTTAATTTTTTTCTCTGCAAAATAAAAATTGAAAATAAAATGGAAACGTAATAGAATTGAATCATCCACGACATTCGCTCTACCATGCAATTAAGTTTTCTTCTGCTGCCAATTTTTCTCAAGAGAATATTTTGGACGTATCAAGCTACAAGATAGATTTGAATCTACAAATAATGTTACCTTCAAGGTTGATCCCGAGTACTCAATAACAGAATCTCCTGCGACATCGAGCAGATCCAAGCTCCTCATATTCAGCCTTGGTGACACACATTGATTTGAAATCAGGACTGGATGCCAGAAGTGAGCCTCCACGCCACACACCTGAGATGGAACTGGACAAGATCCAAGGATTTTTAACCAACACAAAGAATTAGCTTTCATGAACAAGTCAACTTCTTGGAGAAGAATATTTACTCTTCTTGAGTTATTATCTTCACTTTATAGTCATCGGGGACAAGAGGTCTGAGCTCCATTTCTCTGCAGTACAAAACACATACATCTAAAAATGATGCCCCGTGATCACCAGAGAGTCTATGCTTAATTACAGAAGGACAAGAGCTTACAGTCTCTCGGCAAAGTGAGGAAATAAAGTGCTTCCACCAGTTAAGATGATGCTGTTTTGATCACAAAATTAAAAATAGTAACTTTTGCAGGAACAAACTTCAAATAAGACAAAAGGTCATAACTTAATAGTTAAACAAACTCAAAGTGCGCATGAGTGAAGCCACCTTTGATAAAGTACAGGATGTAGATAAGGATGGCATGAATTAATAGCTCTAACAATGCACTCGGCAAGTCCAGCCTGATTTATTCCTGGTAAACAATGAAAACAAAATCCAAATCAAAAATCAACTTTCCATTTCATGCTTTCCACCAGTTACCACAATGAAATTTATAACATCTATCTGACCAGAAAGCAACCATGGTGCTAATACATGATACAAACCCAAATCTGCAGGTTGGAAGATCATTTCTGGAACAAGAAATCGTTCATTTGTCAAGTCAAACTCCTGCGTAGATGGCAACAAAGTTAGAAGTATGTGAAATGGGGAAAACCCACTTTTACTCCCCGCAAAGAAAATAGGAAACTACGTTTTTTGACAAATCAATTCTCTTTCTGTCCTCCAGCTTGCCCATGGTGTCTGGCTGCAGTGTGTCCTTCGCTTCTATCGGATTGAGATATCTCTTTGCAGCATCAGGGTCTTTGACATAGCCCTTTGTGTGCGTGACTCCATCAGGAAGAACGTAGGTGCATCGAAAGAGGTTGTCTCTCCCCAGTTTCCTAGAAGGAACTTTCAAAGATGTCCAATAACGCATCTTACAATGAAAAAAAAAATTAAAAAAAAACCCCTGGCAGATACTTATGTTAATGGGTTTCAACGATTAATGAAGAAACCAAAAAAGAAAATTATTTTCTCGGAGAAATTTTCCTAGCTTTCTCTACAGGAGCAAACAACAAACACCAACAATATAAAAGCATTCAACAACGTCAAAGAGAAATCAACTGCCGATAAGGGAAGAAAGAGCGCAACAGCTATAAATGGGTACCTGCCAATCTGGAGGTCGCGGGCGACATCGAGGGAGACAAAGCAGAGCTTCTCCTTGACATCGTCGATAATAAAAGTTTCATCCATTACATTGATGGAACGGAAGGATACGAGCTCCTTCAAGTAATTGGTAAGGGCCTTGCCACCGAGATCGATCCTCTTGACGGCATAATTGAGGGTGAAGTTGTCGAACACCGGAGAAGCATGGGTGAAGGAGAAGCCGGAGTCGACGACTAGGCTACACTGAGTTTTGGCGAGGAGTTCATCGGGCCGGCGACTGGCCTCGTAGAGGTGGACGAGTGAAGATGACTGGGCCACGTACAGGGCAGAGAACCCAAAATCCTCGAAGACCAGCTCGTCAGTGGAGCGCTGGATGGAGGGGAGGGCAAGGGGACCCTCCGTCAGCAGCAGTGACGACGAAGCTGGGTTCACGTGGAGGATCGAGGAGAAGAGGTGGGACCAGATCTCCCGCTCGACATCTGGGTTTATAAGGTACCCGCGGTCCATGGGTCGGCGGACAGCCGCGGAAGTGAGGTCAAGGTCGGCGGTGGGTGAGGGGTGGATGAATTTTTTAGAGGAAAGAGGCCGGTATAGACAATTCGGCATGACGGCCGCGGGGTCCCGCTCACCACCGTTACCGGCTTTTATCAGTCCTCCGCCGTTGTCCAACACGACGACGGTTGACATTTTCTTTTCCTTTTCCTTTTCCAGAAGGGGTTGATGGTGATGGTGATGGGTTTTATCAAATGTTACGGATTTTTATAGTTATGACCTCGCAGGGTTTCGGGCTTTAAGGACATATTTTTGTTAGATGTTGAAAAAAAAAATTCAATACTTTCCAATTTTCTTCAAGTTCTTTAGCTTCAATATGAATGTTCTATTTTTTATCAAATTGATATATAAGATTAATTTCTTAATCTCAGTGCAATTTGGCTTTTCCATATCAGTGAGGTGTTTGAATTGTAAAAGCCAGTAGTTCATCATGCTCATCACCCCAAAACAGCGAGGGCTTTACATTCGAGTTCTTGTGTGGTCCATTACCAGTACCAAAAAACCCATGAAACTTTATGGTCTACCAACAAAATGAAGATGGGAAAAACAAAGCATCTTAACAGACACAAATATACTGCATCATACTATTCAACTCCTGTGCTTCTTTCTCTCCTTTCTTATATGGGTACACTTCCATCTATAACAAATTTAAACAGAAAAAAAATAAGTAAATGAAGAAATTTTATGTATAAAAAGAATCCTCCAAGAACGTATGGAAAAGTAGGAAATTTGTGAGAGGGAAAGAGCAAAAGCAGCCATGAACACAGCAAAATTCAGTAAGGAGGGTAGTAGTACCCTCCTGGCTGCCCCGCGCCATTAAACTGCGGCATCCCATAAGGCATCATCACTTGCTGAGGATTTGGAGCATAGGGATCAGTAGCCACCTTGGCCAAACTAACTTGACCTTGCATCCCATTCTGCTGCCACAGCTGCTGCTCCTGTACAAGCAACTGTTGTTTCCTCTCCATGTCTGCAATCTGCACATACGACGGAGGCGGCACTGTTAAAGATGCAGCAAACGGGTCCTGATTCACCACTGCTTGTACTGTCCCGTCCGGAGCAGGCAGTGCTAGCACTGGCATACAACTCTTGCCTGGCCCCGGTAATGCAACACTACTTGCGCTACCACCAGTCAGCTGAGCGGTGCTCACATGTTGTGTCACGGCCCTCTGGTCATACATGCCATTCAATATCAAAGGATCCAAGCCACCCCCCATTGTAGCTTTCTGCTTTGACAGATTGCTAGCTGATTCCACCAAAACCATTTCCCAATCTGCTTTACCACTCTCCGCAGCTGGTGTTTGCCAAGCAGAAGTCACCTCAGGCTCCCCGTTCCCACCAAACGCTTCCCACGAACCATTTCTGCCGGCAGCTGCTGGTCCAGAGAACAGAGCCAGAGCCAATTTGTTGCTTTGCTCGTCAGCCGAAACACCATCCTCTTTTAAATTCACCAGATCCTCCGTCACCTGTAGTGGCTGCGGCTTTGGTTGTTCAGGCGCAGTTGGTGGCAGTGGCAGTGGCAGTGGCAGCTGTGGTGTGTAATTCTCTGGTGGAGAAGGAGCATTCACCTCATTCCTATCAGGCAGTGGCTCTTCTTTAACCGGAGGTTTCCTTCCCTTGTTTCTGCCAGGACTTCTAGGTCTGTTAGCCATCTCCTTCAAGAAACTCTCGAGTGTGGACAAGAGCTTATCAGTGATCCTCTGCACTTCAGGGTATTCAGATGATCTAGCAATACCCATATCTTTGCACCAACTATAAAACGCTACAAGCTCATCAATCATCTTTGCAGCGTTAACATAAACATCAAAACCCTTAACGCAATCCGGATACTCCATCTCTGTAAATCTATCTAACAGAACACCTAATGACTCACAAATCTCCACATACAATCCAAAACTCTCCTTCACAACATTATAAAGCGCAACAAGCACCAACCTATTGTTCCGAGCAGAACCAGCTGGCCTACAAGCCAAAACCCTGTCAAGAATCCTTAACAACCGATTCACCCTGCCTAAAACCCTCTCAGGCCTCATTTCCTTTATTTGTGTAGCCTCTCTCCCCACGGATTCACAAACATCACCATATGATCTTGATTTCCTCCCCATCCCACGATCAAAATCATCCCTGAACTCTCCGTGCTCCCGATCCCTCTCCCCAGGCTTATCCCTACCTTTCAACTTCTTCTCAAACACAAGAAACTCCACCTTCTCGTCCAGATACATGGCATAAAACTTGACGAAAGCCGCATGATCCAACGAATTGGAATGCGCTTCGTCCTTGAAATCCGCCATGTTCAAGACCCGCATCCCTTTCCTAGTGGCATGCAAAATCTCTTCCTCAAACAAAGGGTTCCCATCAACCAAAAGCCTGTGCACAAGCATCAACGCCTTGAGCGCCACGATCCAATCGTGAGTCTTACTCAGCCTCTTCGATACTGTAGCCACGCAGGCATCGAGATAGCCCCTAGAGTAGGAAGTGAGGTTTATGATCTCCCTAAAGTACTTGTCATCGGCGGGATCCTCGTCATGAGTTGTGACTTTAACCACCAAAACCTCGAGGTCCGGTGCTATGTTTCCGGCGACTTTGGCTATGCTAATACTCGTTTGATCTTTTACGGCCCCAATTGCTTTACGAATCGTGCTCGATGCCATCGTCTACTGATTATGCCACCGGCGTATTTGTGGGTTTTCTGAAACAGAAATCAGAAAAGAAGAAGAAAAGTAGTGGGTTGAAGAATGCTCTTGATCTGGTTTTTCTTTTGTGAATTTAGTATGAAACTGTATCAGAGAATGGTTTTAGACGGTGGATCCAATGGTGGGGATGAAAGATTTGCTGACTCGAGTCAGCGGTTCTGACGGCGGAGATGAACGTCGGAGGATCGGATAAATTACGAGTATGTAGCAGTGAATGTAGACTCATTTGCAATTGCGTGTATGACGAACGCATAGACTGCTAAAGCGCGTAACAAGTTTTAACGCAAGAATTAGACACTCCACCGACTAAACCTCTGTGTATGATTTCTTTCCTGTTAAAAAGCAAATCGTAACGGTGCCGTTTTAATTGTTCAAATATTTTTCACTTTATTTTAAATTCTTTTTTTTTTAAATGTATATGGATGTAATTTTATATTTTAACTAAATCGAAATAAATAAATATTATAAACTATTACTTTAACCATCGATATTCATTATTTTGTAATTTGAAATATTAATTTATTTTAATAAGATTCTCCGTCATCTTCCTAAACCCAACGGCTTCGTGCTCACTTCCGACTTCCGGCCACCTTCAGATTCCATCTGCTTCCGGGCCCCTGTTCTTCTCTGCCAATCATGTTCATCCTCCGACTCCACTCCGTCGACACCGATCACCTTGTCACCACCCCCGAATTAGACTTCACACCTACAACCAAGACCGCGCCATCGAACCCTAGCCCTAAAGTCAGCGAGCGCTGGGGCATGGTTCATCTCTACCGGAACTCATCCCAGACGTCACTTCCAAACCCTACCTCTCGATCCACTTCCCTCTTCGTTGTTGCCGTTCCAAACTATCTCTCCTCCCTTGATTTCATCCGTTTCTGCGGGCCCCACATCGACAATGCCTCCGAGGTCCTATTCATAAGGTATCATCATTCTCATATATTGCAGTTTTTCCAGCTTTCTTTCGTTTATGATTAATTATGATTAGGAGATTTTGCGATTTTTTTTTTTATCTTAGTTTAGATCGTTCAAGTTTCGATAATACCGAATTTCATGGAAGGAACTTGTTAGTTATAGTTTTCTCCTAGTTGATAATTATCTGAGCTCAATTCATTTTTCTGTGCATTTGAGCTCTTAGCTTTTTTTATGTCATTGCGTGGACAAGGGAAGAATTGAAAATGGATCTTTTCTACTGAATATATCTAAGTTTTCGTTTCCTGACAACAATTTAGGAATGATGGTATGGAAGACCGATACAGTGTCCTGATGAAATTTGTTGATCAATCCAAAGCTGATGGATTCTATAGCAGCTTAAATGGAAAGCGGTTTTCACCTTCTGAGGTCTGTGAACTTCATTTTGTATCTTTAGTTTCTCTCTATGTGCTATTTCATTGTGCCTAATTGCAATCACAATTTCTGACTATCTTTGAATTTTAGGCTGAGGTATGCCATATTCTATTTGCAGTTTCTGTAGAGTACACCGATTCCTCTGAGCTTGCTAGCACGCCTCCAGTAGGCTTCACTGATTTACCTACCTGCCCAGTTTGCCTTGGTGAGTTTACCACTTTCTTTTTGTGTAGTCTTTTGACTAAAAGTGTGTTATTCTATATTTTAATTAGAATTTATATGGAGTTCTGTAATTATGTTGAATTGTTTATTCCCCATTCTAAATGTTGTTCTTTTAATTTTGCATTCATCAGAGAGATTGGACCCAGACACTAGTGGAATACTTAGTACACTTTGTGACCATTCATTTCAATGCCCATGCACTTCAAAATG